CTGGCATTCTTGGTGTTGTTTTCTCTATCTGTCTAATATTGGAACGCTGGTTCGGTTGTCCCAGTCGAATTGATGTTGAATGATGTCACTATTCACTCACAACTGGTGGTGGTCAGTGTGTGAAGACTGAAATCCACGAAAGATAACAAGACAGCACAGACGCCTTACATCTATTGATCTACCAACCGGTAGTCGCTACGCATCTCACTTTACCACTACTACGCCTCATCCTCTGTTCTAGCCGACTACTGACTGACTGACTGGCTGGCTGGCTAAGCAGTCTGAAGGGCGCCAGACTCCAGAAAGAAAACAAATCCTACACGTGCTTCTTCTGGATTACACACAGTGTTGACATGGATGGCTGCTTCAAACAACCACCACTACCTTTGACACACACACACACAAACACGCTTTATCCAGTCATCAGGAGTACTGTTTACTCACTGACTGTGCTATGTTCGCCAGTGTCTGTCTGTCTATCTCATATGGAATTATGGAATTCTGTCATAAGTGTCCGTAGTGAGCCACTGTTTGTCCTGTCTCTTCTTTCTGCCTAGAACTTCCGTGCAGGTTTGACTCCACAGCGCTTTCAGGTTGTCCCAGTGCTTCTCAACGTCGACCTCCTCCCTAGTGTTGATTTGTGTCTCGGCTTTCTCCCTTATCCTGGCAGTGAAGATGTCTTTCGTATCCTGGTCTTTTAGTTTTTGAGTATTGAACTTGGTTTGTGGTCTATCTGCAGCTACTGTTTCTTTGAAAGCTTTTAATTTGATTTGGATTGTCCCTTGTACGAGATAGTGGTCTGAACCAACGTCTGCTCCTCTTCTTACTTTTGTGTTCAGTAGGCTGCGTCTTCACTTATTTGAGAAGCATTGAGATAAAGTCAATTTGGTTTTTGGTTCGCCGGTGTAGCCTTGTGGATATCTTTGTGTTTGTATACGCTGCCATCAATCACTAGTTCATTGAAGGTGCAGAAGTATGCGAAGAGTGTGTTGTCTGGTCCCAGTTTGGCATTCATTCCTGTCCCCCACTAGTATTTTAATGTCACCAATAGGAGTATTATTGTCCATTGTCGCCTGTAGTTGTCTGTAGAATTCTTCTTTCTTTTCGAGATGTGCGTTGTTTGTGGGTGCATAACATTCTACAACTGACACTTTCCTTCCTTTCGAGTTGAATCTGTCGGTCATTATCTTGGGTGAGATCGCCTCCAATTGCATCAAAGCTTGTCATCTGAGTGACCGAAGTAGATCACTGACTCTCCCGTTGTCAATTTGCTGACACCATTCCCGTTTCATCTGCTTCCACATATTCCCAGTACTTGAATTCCGTACTTTTCCATCTCTTTTGTAATCTCGGCACCTTTGCCAATCTCGTACGTGGTGCGGACGTTCCATTTCCCCACAGACTTTTTCTTTTCGCCCAAGGAGATTCACAGTGGTAAGGTTCCTGTAGGAACTTTGTTCACACAGCGTGCAGTTGCCAGCCTCACACCTGATAAGAGGGTTTTTATATTAAAATAGAGTTTACAGAGAAGCAAACTTGTGGGTTGCTCCCCGTAAAATAAGCAAAACAAGGAATAAAGCAATCAGGACAACACCAGCAAAAGGAAAATAATTCACACCAGGAAGCGAAGCGACAACAGCAATAAAAAAGTATAACCTTAGCAGTATTATCACAGTCAGATACAGTTAACATGGAATTATGTTCTGTTCTGTCACAATGCTTGCCTAAAGTGGTGGGACGCATATGTAATCTGAATATGACGATTTCTCAAAGCAAATTACAACGAGTGGAATGACAACTTTGAAGAACTGTGTGGGTGATTCACTGGCGAATATAATGAGCTCAACTCAACTCTTCGCTTCGTGTTTCTCATTTGTCACTCACTCACTCACTCACTCACTCACTCACTCGCTCGCTCCCACACTCTCTCACTCCCCCACTCACTCCCTCATTCGCTCACCCACTCACTTCCTCACTCACTCACACACTTACTCACTCACTCACTCCCTCACTAACTCACTCACTCAATCACTCACTCAATCCCTCACTCACCCACTCACTCACTCACTCACTAACTCAGTGCAATACACAAACAACTGTTTTTCTCAAAACCACACATTATAAAGAAAATAGTTGAAGAAAGCAAAAACAAGCTATCATTCAAGCGTATTCCTGCTGTCAGTAGATAAAGGTGAATCGATATTACTGTGTACGTTGTTTGGTTCCGATCACCATCAACGGGAAGGATTTGAAAGAGGTTACACTTCATTCACTACTTATTCTGGGGAGCATTGTCTCACTTACAGGCAGTCGGAACGGACGTGGATGTAAAATCGAGAATCGGGTAGGGGGGGAGCGAGAAACACATTCACTCATCAACCTGAAACAACCAATCTGGAAATCTTCGTCACTCAGCCAACACCAACAACAAAATTCCGTTGGTCGGATTTTCAATACAAACACGTCAAGTCAGTCAGCTCTTCTATACGGATCAGAAACTTGGCGGGGCGGGTCACAAAGAATATTTCCACCAACAGCCTGTTGCAGACGTTACCTTTAACAACAACTAACTGTCTTCGCTGGATCTATACTGGAGATCAGATGGCCGGGCTGGGCCGGGTCAGAAAGAATCACCAACAACAAGAAACTATGGGAACAAACAAACAAACGAAACAAGAACCAATCGTCCAAAAACAACAAAGTGGAGAGATGGATTGGACACTCACTGAGGAGGCCGCGTGGATGACATCACGCGCGCGTCAGGCCATTGCTCGAGTGGAGTCCGAAAGGGAAGCGGCGGGTGGGTAGTCAGTGCAAGAGTGACGTGGAGGAGGAGATCGTGTGAAGAGGAGTTGAAACAGTATGGAGTAACATGGATGATTCAGGTGAAAAGTACAGCAGCAGAAGATAGAAGTGGCAAGTGGAGACGTGCAGTTGAAGCCCTATGTTCCACACTAGGAACCCAAGGGAACAACAACAACGTTGTTTTGTTTATTGATCTGTTTGTATGTACAAAAATCTCAGTTACCCAGAGGAGGGATTTTTCTAGTGTAGCAGACAGACCAAGAGCCCCATCTATGAATCATGTGAAGGTTAATCATACTTCTACTACTCAGTTGACCAGCCAGACTGACTGACTGACTGATGAATGAAGTCGATGCATCAGGATTCAAATTCATCCTCACCTGGCGCGCCTTTTTAATTAGCCCTAATCACAAAACCCAATGAGTGAATGAGTTACTTAGAGCCAGTGCTGTGCGATGCATTGCGATCGATACATCTCCACACACACAAAGATGAATACATTCAGACCAGCACTGAAATTCAAATATCCCCACCCCCCCAGGGTAACATGAATTATATATACCTATATGTGTGCGTATTATTTTTATTATTTCTTTTAATTCCTAGAGGAACATGGGCTTCAGCCGCCCAAGTCTCCATCGAGTTCGGTTCTCGGCTAGAGTTTTCTCCCCTGGCTACACGTCTGCCCACATGATTTCATCTCCTCTTCACATCACGTTCTCCATTCCATGTCACATTCGAATTGACAACCAACTCGCCACTTCCCATTCCGTCGAGTTCCACTCGAGCAATGGCTTGTCTAGTGATGCCAGTCACTTGATGGGTCCTTTTCTCAGAGTATGGCCAGCCAATCCACCTCCATTTCTTCCTGTATATTGTTTGCACAATTGGTTCCTCCTGTGTTGGTTGGTTCGCTCATTCCCAGAGATCCCTCCCTGTTGCTGATCTTTTCTGACTGGCCATCTAATCCCGATTGGTATTTAGCGGAGACAACTGTTAATGAAGATCTGTAGTTTATTTGAGGTGCAGTTTATGACGCGCTGGCCAAGTCTCTGATCCATCCGTATAGTGAGTAGCACTGACTGATTTCACTTTGGAGTTGAAAATCGGGATCTTATCTTCGTTTTCATGCTGATTAGTGGTGTTGGCCTCCACACAGACTTGAGAGTAATGAAGGCTTGTCTTGCTTTTCCGATCCTCGCTGCTTTGATATCCTCGTCAGTTTTGTCCGCCTGTAGTTGAAATGATGCTTCCCAGGTACCAGGCACCTAATGTAAGGTATCACACTTATACTTGTATAGGTGTGTATAACACATCAACTAGACTACCTTGAAACCCTAGAACCAACCGATTAGTCTGCAATTTCAAAACTATTGCTGTCTGTGATCACCCAAAACTATTGGTGTTATTGTTAATTACGCAAAAAGTTTATTACTTCTTCGTCGTATTCGTCTTCTAAGAGAAAGAGAAAGCATTCCACGTGAAGGACTGCTGCCCATCGGTGAAAAGTCCTATGTTCAAAATAGACACACAGCCAGACAGTGAAAAATCTTAGTGCAAGATGTTTAAAGTCTCAGTCTTGACGACGTAATAAATTCCATGCAGGACAACATATTTAAGACTACTGGACGCATTCGCTGTCTGTCTGCACAAAGTGACAGCTATTTTTGTAACTGTTCCCACAACTTGAGTAGTTCATATTGGATTGTACTACTTGCATCCGTGGTGGTGGTGGTGGTTGAATGGTGGGTGGTAAGGTGATCATCGTCAGCGACCCACGCACGCACGGACGCAAGCACGCAAGTCATCTATCTACATTCGATTACCCACCCACACACCCACCGCGGTCCACTTCGAAATCTCGCCAGTCTACCACTAACCAAATAGTTGGCCAAGATTAGGAAAGGCAGGAAGGAAGGTTGAAGAACATGACACCACCAACCCCATCATCATCATCATCATCACGTAAGAGACTAACAACAACAGTCCTACTGAAACGTCAAAGCTTCACACTTCAAGCCCTGTGGTGTCATTCTCGGAATGCAAAGGGAGCCCGAAACGCCTTGTCCATTAGGACTTGTTTGTATACAGTTCATCGTAAGAATACACACACACCCACATAGAAAGAAAAAGAAAATAACATACAATTATCAAAAATCGATAACACTGTTTATCCATGACATGACATGACATACCTGAGCTAAATCTTGACCAGTGGCCGCAAACATTCCAGCGATAATATTCGCCGCATGAGCATTCGATCCCATTATACCTGAACAGCCGGCCAGTGATGAGCCTATCCAATTCTTTGCATGTGCTAATCGTGCTAACCGATGTGCATTGGTGTGCAACACTTGAGCTAAGACGTTAGCCGGGAGACGTGCTTCCGCGATGACAGATTTACCACGACCAAGAATTGTGTTGATCGTTGCCGGCTTTTTATCTGTACACATATTTCCACTTAGTGAAATCACCTGTGTGTGTGTGTTGAAAATGACAAGGAAGGAAGGAAGGACAAAACAACGTCAGTCAGTCAGTAATCAGCTTAGGCCATGAAAACAAATAGTTATACAAATGGATTAATTAAAAAAAACATTCGGGTAGAAGACAATGAAATAATTAATGGTGTCCTCTGATGATGGATGTCACAGCATTATATCGTTCAATTAGTCAAAAAGCAGCAATAGAGAAACTATGCAACAATTACTGTCTATACTGATTCAAATTCTGACCTATCTGTCCAAAAGAAGTTTACTCAACTTCATCAGGATACTGACAAGAATAGTCAGTTTGTGGGGCAACATTTAGGCTTAAACTTTAAGCACCACTAACCACCATCAATCAGCGAACGAATTTCAACGCACCAATCACATGAAAGAAGCATTTTGACCACAGAAAACGGATATTTATGAAAAAAAGCATAATATCTTCATGAAACTGTTACATGTGGTATCTTTCTCGAACATGTGACAGAAACATCTCCCAATTTAACATAGGAGTATCAATAGAAAAGTCACACCACATTCTCTACATACATTCATCCGAATGACTACAAATGAGATCCTTTCGAGATCTATTCATAGCCCTTATCCTCTTTTAATATTCCTCAAAATCCTCTTATAGAATTCGTGTGTGTCCTTGTAAATGGATCCACAAAATCACTAGAATGATTCACTCTGTGGTGAATATATTTAAGAGACGACAGTGAGTTATAGCCTTTCCATTCATCAATATGTATTATGGATCCCCGTTTCACAAGTCGGGTGACAGTGAGTACTAAGGTAGTAGACTTTCTGTCTGGTATTCTCTCCACGAATCCTTTCAGCACCGAGGTGCCATATAGTCCAATCACCCAAACATTCTTGGCTGTCTCACGACCACGGTTGCATTTTTTCTTCAGTAGGACAGTTTCATCCACGCATACGACGACACCTTCTCCATCCAACAACAAAGTAATTCTCTCCATTTTTCATGAGGCGATGTCTCTGCAGTGCTAGTACCACCGAACTGTTGACACGAGGCTATATTCAGTTTCAGCAGATATACCTCACACCTCACCTGTTTTGAAACTCAGTAATTACAAATATACAAAATCTGGATTGGGCGTTAGGGAGAGAGATGCGACCTAGCACAAAAATGCTCCTACGAAATATTAAAACTATCAGCTTACCTTCCCTAAGACTAACTGGTCTTAAACAAATTACACAACGATGGACATGTCCATCAAAATTGACCTGGTAAGGCTTTTTACACCCATGACACCACCACAAGTACAAATCCTCTCTGTCCTAAGGAATCGGAAATCATTGGGAATACTGGAAAACCTTATCTTCATAGAACTGCAAACGTAACTTCGTTACACCAGGCATTGATGAATAAGAAACAAGCGCGCTATATGACTTTAAATTGGTGTGCATAAACCTCACTGGACCATTCGAGGTCATTCGCTGATTGGCAGTTAGTGTTAGTGGTGCTTAACGTTTAAATTCGGCGGTTAGTGGAAACACGAGTGAGTAAGTGTGATCGAATATTTCACAGATATACACACATACATACAAACATCATGTCAGCCCTACAGTGAAATGATTGGGCGACGAGGGGGAGAGGACATGAATGAGAGAGAAATGATGTGGTCGAAACACGTTTTTCACTGTGAGTGAGTAAGTAAGTAAGTAGGTAAGTAAATTATACGTATGGTGACAGTTTTGTAAAACAGGAAAAAAAAGGGGCGACATATAAGGAGGGGACATCTGAGGTCCTATGTAGGATTCTCAATAACAAAGCAGGAATTAAACTGGTGGTAAGTGGCACTTAAACCTACGAACTGACTCACTCAGGTAGGACAAGCTCTGTAGGCTCAGCAGGCTATGTAGGACCCCGTCGGTCGGTTGACCCAATTAGACAAAATAATATTATTTACAAAATACCCTGCAATGACTGTGAGTTAGGTCAACTACTTACATAGGTCAAACTTGTAGATCGGGGATAGTCAGATTGCCGGAACATAAGAATTTAGCTAAGGTAAGAATGGTTGACGCCATCGGAGAAGATAAGTAATTTAGAAAACAGTACTCAGCACTACATTGCACTGTATACATTAACACACAACGACACAATAACATGGTGGAAGTCTACACCATGGTGGGGTGGGTCTACACTGAACACATGAAACAGAAATAACTCAATGCAAATATACCAGAAATATGCATGGAAGATATTATTACCGCCAGTCAAATCAGAAGAGGGAAATAAATAATCGCAAAATTGTATTTCAATCCAAGCACATCACAGCGTTCTAACGAGTTACTTATTATGACTATAAAAGCCTTCGTCTTATTTTGACTTGACACTAGTAAACTACTAGTGTGATGTGCTGATATATTAGATAGTTGGAGGCAGTCGGCCAGAGTAAGCCGCCTTGCACCTAGGTTTTGTGCTAGTAGGCGGCACTCATCAGTCAGTCAGCAAGGCGTGTCTGCCACCACATTGAAGGGACAGCTCATGTCCCTTTTGAGATCCAACTATCTAATATATATCAACAATTCACAGCAGTGCACCGTGATGGTGAGCTACATAGAATGGTGTCCACATTGTGTAAACCTGACTGACTGATAGAATTCAGTCTGCATCAAAGAAAGGACAAGACACGTCACACTAGTTACTGGCTAGTGTCCACTCAGACAAAACACCCACTACAGTCCTCCTACAGGAGGTCTATGGACAGCTCGAATAGATCAGTGGTAAGGTTTCTGACAGTAGCACTAGTTGGCGCGGATTCGAACCTCAGAAAGGACATGAGCTGTTCCTTCAATGTGGTTGTTGAAGATACGCCTTACTAACTGGTGAGGACCAACTAGCACGAAATCTAGGTGCAAGGCGGCTTCCTCTGGCCGACTGCCTCCAACTATCTAATATGTCAACATTCGTCTTATTTCCCATCTGATTGTTGTAATTGATCACTCATAACAATCATATTAGTATTATTATTATTATTTCTGAATGTACATTATCCCATATTACTGATTTTTATTCAAATGTCTAATAATCAATTCCACACATGTATATAAATGAAGGAAACAAGAAAGTTGTGTGAGTGAGTGAGTGACTTGATATGATTATGAGTGGCAATAATAATAAACTGTGCTCGAAATGGCGTATGGTCGGATCAGTTTATATTACAGTATAACTGTCACTACACTGCACTGTGTGACAGTTTATCAAAATAAAATCTTATCCATAATCGAGTAGTTATACTCTACCACCACCACCAACACAGTGGCCAATTTTTATACTTATACCGTAAACGAAATGCTCATATTATTATTATTATTATTAAAGTGCTTTACAGCAAATGATGACAAATCATCATTCATTCTTTCATCCACTTACCTGCATCCTACTAAACTGTTTTTGAAGGCAATGCAAAGCACTATCAGTTGCTTTGCTTACCATATTCATACCCATAGCATCCCCAGTACGCGCTGCAAATCGAATATGAACGTATCGACCAGCCTGATGAACAAGAAAACGACAAACACAGACAGACAGATAGAAAAAGCATCAGTAAATTCTCATGTGGGATAAAAAGCTTCATCAATCAATAATTGAAACAAGCAATAAAGGTGGTTAATAAAGCAGGATTTAATGAATTCACCACATTCCGGTAGAACTCGTCAGCTGCTCAGTACTCTACATACACGGATATATATACTTTTGAAATTACATTGGGAGATATAAGACTGATAAGTAAATAATCTACATTGAATTAGTCATGCAGAAAGACACGTTCGAATGTTTTACAGGTCATGTTCAAATAGACAAATTTCAAATTCTGTGTTCCTATGAAAAAGATAAAGCCGATCGATATCGAATGCCAATTCGAAAGTCTTTATGATCAAATTATGGGGCTACATGCCACGTCCAGTGACAGCGAAAGCTGGTTGAAAGCAAAGATGGCTGATATTGCTCATCAATTTCGAGTCATGCCAACCAATCAAAAGTCGAATATCACCAAAGAACACTGGAGATCTTTAAACAAGCTCCGAAAAGACAAAAATCTTGTTATCTTACAAGCTGATAAAGGACAAAGTGTAGTGCTAATGAACAAGATAGATTACCTCAAAAAAATGCATCAAATTCTCTCTGATGAATCTAAATTCAAATTGGATAACCATGCAAAAGACCAAACGTTATCAACCGAAAGGAAAATTGTGCAGCATCTACGACAACTCTTCAAAAATAAACACATTGACGAAAACACATATAGAAATATCAAACCGATTGGGTCACAAATCCCAAAACTATACGGACGCGTAAAAATACACAAACCAGGAGCGCCGTTAAGACCCATACTCTCTATGATAAACTTACCATACCACAGATTAGCACAGTGGTTATGTGAACTGTTGCAGCCCTTGCTGAAACGTTTCGGAACACATTTCAATTTGTCAATCAAATTAAAGATTTCAATGTATCCGATAAGCATTTGGTCTCTTTCGATGTTACCTCCCTTTTCACAAATGTGCCAGTCGTTGAGACTATCGACTTCATATGTAAAGAAGCTGAAGACATACCCATTCCAACATCGGAATTGAGGAAATTACTACTTTTATGTACTAAAAATGTCCAATTCCAATTCAACGGGCGTCTGTTCCGTCAAGTTGACGGTGTCGCAATGGGAAGCCCTTTAGGACCACTTTTCGCCGACTTATTCTTGTCACGTATAGAAACCGGTACTTTGCAGCAACATATACAAGAAACAGATGTATACCTAAGATATGTTGATGACATTTTTGTTGTCTGCGAAAGCAGATCAAAAGCGGAAGACATGTTGATAAAATTCAATTCATGCCATCCAAATCTCAATTTCACAGTAGAACACGAGGAAAACGATACTATTTAATTTCTAAACGTTCTTCTGACCAAAATGAATGATGGCACAATCGAAAGATCAATATTTAGAAAGTCTTCATGGACAGGACAGTACATGCATTTCAAGAGCTTTGTTCCAATCCAGTACAAAAAGAACTTATTCAGAACACTGTTCAATAGAGCACGAAAAATTTGTTCTGACAGTACTATTGAACGTGAAATAAAATTTCTGAAGGATATTTTATCTAAGAATGGATATCCTGAGAAGTTCATTAATAAATACTCTAAAGAAACTACCCCTTGCAAAACAATTCAAACAGTTCAAAAGAAACCTGTCTACATCAATTTGCCATTCAAAGGAGATGACGTACAAGAAGCAGTGAAACGAAGACTCGACAAAGCCATCAAGAGAACTTATTATGCTGCAAAACTTGTTATCCTTAACACCACCAAGCGAGTGCTTCAACAATCTGGGAAAGACCAGTCGCCAATCCTCGACACTTCAAACTGCATATATCAATTTGAATGCGTTTGTGGCAGCAAATACATAGGTCGTACAGAAAGGCGATTGTCTACTCGCAGGATGGAGCATTTGCCAAAATGGTTGAAAACAGCTGAGTTCAAAGTGCCAAAATCCTCAATAACAAAACATCTTTTGGATTACGGACATGATATCGACGCGGTCAAGTCATTCACCATCGTCAGCAAACAAAGAAACAAGAAGATGCTTGCAATTGCAGAGGCTTGTGCAATTCGAATTTACAAACCAGCTCTCTGTATACGAAAGGAGATGGTCGTCACTCTGAATCTACCATGGTAATACGCCTTACTTATTATTCTCTACTTGTTATTACTATTATTCTACCTCTTCTTCTTACTATTATTGTTATTATTACTATCATTATTATTATTATTCTTGATTCATTTAAAACTATGTTTCATCAGCAAGATTATCTTAACTCACTTCAACACTATTACTATTATAACTATTACTATTGGTATTAGTCTGTTTGCAATTCTCGTTATGTTCCCTAATGACTAATTATTTATCTAAGTGATGTAATTGAAGTGTAGTGCAATTTATGTTAATTCTGATCTCTTATACTCTCTCTCTCTCTCTCTCGCCTTATCTATTTGAACATGACCTGGAAAACATTCACACCTGTCGTCTTTCTGCATGACTAATTCAACGTAGTTTGTTTACTTATCAGTCTTATATCTCCCAATGTAATTTCAAAAGTATATATATCCGTGTATGTAGAGTATTCAGCTGACGACGAGTTCTACCGAAATTTGATGAATTCATTAAATCCGCTTTATTTACCTTTATTGCTTGTTATAAATCCGTATCGGGAAATAAATGTTTTCAATCAATAATTGGAACACTCTATGAGAGATGAATCAACGCAAAAATGGAAATTCTTCTTTCAAAGTGGTTGCCATTCACCCACCCACCCCTCCACTCGACCTAGTCTAATCATCCGATAAACCAACGATTAATTAATTAATTAATTAATTAATTCTACGAAGGCTACTACTAATTGAGTCGTCTTATGCGTGTGCGCCAATCGCGAGAAAGTCAGTGAGTGCTTCTACATATGGTTGAACGAGTCTTGGCGTGTCGCAGAAAGCATTTCCGACATGCTACTGCAGACAGCCGTATCAACAGCTGCCTCCACTCCACTCCACACTGAAGGTCACAGGGCTAACCGGAGAAAATAAGCAACAAGGAACTTTACCATCGGACGGACCTATTGCTAAACAGATATGCAAACAAAAACTGAGATACGCATTGGAGAAACGCTGATGAGACTGCTGAGTGATAATACCAACACCATGGGCCAGACCCTTGAGTAGAACCCGGAGAGAAAACGATCGGATGGGAGTGGGTCCGACTGTGACGTGGAGATTATCGTGTGAGGAGGTGACACCTCACCCGGAGTCTTCCAGCCAAGTAAACAGCACTCTGTCAAGAGCATAGCCGAGATGGAGTTGTGTTGTTGGAGTCCTACGTGCCACTCGTCACCCAATGAGATAATAATAATGATGATAAAATAATAGTAATTCAGTCTTCAAAATCGAGGGACGTGGCACTGTATTGAATCGAGTCATTAAACAATCCACTCACACACCTCCCCCCAACCCCACCCTCACCCCAGTGCAACTGCTGAGCTACACAAACAAACTTAATGATCTTACACCATATAGTTGAAGGGAAGTATGAAACTAGTGTATAAACGCCTTAAATAATAATTACCACATCATACACAAACTCACTCACATACCCTGCTAGTGTAAAGCCTTTGACTCAGAGAATCATGCGAGTAGTCAAATAAGAGCTATAATCACCACTGTGAAATGTGCACTTAAGCATAAAGTGCATGTGATTTTACAAAAATAAATCAAATCAAATCTATATGTGGAACTAGTAACATCAGCCATATCCAGAGGAAATTATTCATGCACTCAAGCGAACCAGAATGTATCTGTATGTTTGAGTAAAAAAAGGGTAATCGAATGCGTAAATAGTCCAGTTTTAGCCACTTCGCAGATACTCGACACTCAATAGAACTTGACCAGACGTTCTCAGTTATTCACCGCCTCCCTTGGAATCTATCTAGACGAGCTCGACTATGTCGTCTACTAGTGAGTGGCTGAAGCGTTTCCAAGCATTACCAGAACACCGACCGACACTCTTTGCATGCAACACAAGAAGTATGTTCAACCGTAGTACGGCCTATTACCTTGGCCTATTGCAATAAGGTCAACAAATCCACCATAAACATTACCACGCCAAATTCATATCACAAGATTCTTCTCCTACTTTTGCCTCTATTCTTTTGTTTCACAGTGACAAACGTTCAATTTACACCACATATGACTTCATGAGCCTTCTCATGATTTCTATTCACTCAGGTTTAACTGGTGCTTTGCTAACTTCTTATCGTATTTACAAATTCCTGTTCATTTCACTTCACTCAATTCATTATCATTATTATTATTATTATTATCAATATTATGAATATTAATATTATTATTATTATATTATATGACAAACAATAATATTCTCGTTATTTTCAACCTTGAACTTATGTCCAGACAAATTATTGAAGAGCGAATATTCTTCATTCAGATGGACTTTCATGTCTGTCTGGTCCACCTCATTAGTTGGTTTAGTATTTCTGTAGAATTCACCTCGGAATAAAGAACAAACAGACTTAGCCATGATGTGAGATTGTATGTGAAATAAAAGGAATAGAAGGTTGAGTGGACCTCACTCAGCGTTCATCTGATAACAAACCAACGCCTTCTTGTGCTAATAGAGTTTTAGACTGTACTTCAGCTCATCTCATCTCATTCGCTCACTGTCTGTGAAGGCAGACTTAGTTAAGTTGAGTTAACTTAATTTAGGTGTCTAACAAACCGAGTGATCATCAGTAGCACTAACCAGTACAAAAATACACCACCTGAATGATGAAATCAAACAGACAGAGAGAAGAAGAAGCGGAAGCGTTGGTGTCAAATAACTGACTAACTAAGTAAGTAAGTAAGTAAGTAACTATCCTATAAAATTCATTCGGAAGATCAGAAAAGGTGTAAAGCGAAATAAACACTAAAATAATGGTGAGACTAATAATGATAACTAGCATAAATAAGAGAGAGAGAGAGAGAGAGAGAAATGTAGGGCATCTACAGCACTCCATTATACCATATGAGGAGGGAGGCGACAGACATCTGACACGACACTCACTCCCTACGTAAGATTCTGAATAACAAAGCAGGAATTCGGCTGGTGGTTAGTGGCATTTACACCTACAAACTGACTCACTCATGTAGGACAAGCTCTGTAGGCTCAGCAGGCTATGTAGGACCCCGTCGGTCGGTTGACCCAATTATAGACAGAATAATATTATTTGGAAAATACCCTGCAATGAATGCGAGATAGGATAGGTCAACTATCTACAACATAGGTCGAACTGGTAGATCGCGGCTAGTCAAATTGTATACAGCTTACGTAAATGCGGATTTATGATTGTACAGCCTGAATTCATTGTAAACAATCAATGTTGTTCACTCTAACTATTCTCTTCTTCTTTTGACGGTGAATATATCAATCCATCCATCCATCTACTACTGCCACTTTGAGAAAGCAAGAAACAAGTGGAGCTCCTGTTGCTCTTGTTGTCAGCAGAAGAAGAATAGACAAGGGGAGGGGAGAGGAGGATGAATTAAACCAAGCCAAGCCAAGCCAAACCAAACAGTGTGTGTGTGTGCAATTTATGCAAGTAGGTAATTAATTCACTTACTGGACTAGCAAATACCGACAGCAGGTTGACGTGGGCACTCGTCTTATCAAAAGCTGCTTTCAACGTCTGAAATCCTTCTTCGGAATCAATCCATCCGATGAATTCAACTGACTCTGTAATTGAAGGGAAGTAGACGACAGGAGCTCTTGTCATTTGATCCCTGGATACCAACCACATCAGCGTCAATCAAGGCGAACAGGAAGGAAGTTGCATGCGAATTTCAATCGGATTAAGGAAGAAAAAAGCATAAAATCAATCAATATGTGGGCATGGCGATGACAGGGCAGAATCGTCATCAATATAAAAATACGTCACACTATTCAATACTCCTCGCTCAGTCAAGGATGATGACTCTAATACTCACTCTTCATTCATTCCTTACAAGACGGTGGACTTTATCAAACGGCACAAACAAACCACCATGTCGACTGGAGTCACATTATTGAAATAAACCAGGAATAGCTATTGCTGAAAAGCTGCCATTTTGACCAAGTAATTCAAAGCAGCATTTAAGCAGCATGCACCTACCTACCTCACTCTACTCACGATCAAACTTGGTCGTCTCATATCTTGATGATGCTTTCTAAGAAAATATTCCGTCTCACCACCTTCTACACCAAGAAGTTAAGATATTCTGGAATAACCCAACTCAATCCTTACTCTTACGATTCGTTAACTCCTGCATCGTGCCTATTAGGGTTGCCTATTCCCTATTGCTCCCTCTTAGTTTTTCCAGAGCTGGCCATTGAAGAAGGGGACTATATTTTATTACCTAGGATGTTAAAGGTTGTCAGCAGGGCGGTAAGCAATGTGCCACTTAACCAACCAGCTTGTTAATATTCTTGCCGACAGGCACTTGAACTCATGTGTGAAAAATGTGCTGAATCCATTCTCTCTGTATAACTCACACCAACACCCACTTCATTCACAACTCACCCGCTTGCATCTCCTCAGACAGGAGCAAAAGCCTATATCGAAAACTGCATACTCGTACTAGCAAGTACAAAAACTCAACCATACCTTACTTAGCTCGTGTTCTTTGCGACAGAGAAGAAATCATTAGTATAAGAATAAAACTTGTGCACTGTGGTAGAGTGTAATTCCATTATGGGTAAATTTTGTTTTGATAAAGTCTCACAGTGTTATACAGTAATGTTTACTGATGACCAAGTTTCGAGCACAATTTATTACCGCTCATAATCATATCACCTTCGAGGGTTATTATTTATTTATTGTTATTTAAACGCAAAAAAAAAACTTGGTACAATACGGCACCAAGAAAGATGTCCCACACATTAATAATAAAACAACATAGATTAAAAGTAAAAAATAAAATTGGAGAACGGATAAAGAACTTCCTCTGGAAGGAAAACAGTCATACTACTTAACAAGTTCAAACTATCATCAGGAAAGGAAGAAAGAAGGAAATTGCAACACGTTCACCATTGATGACTGCGATTCTTGGCCATATCCGATAAAGTTTCGAGCCATCGATTCGAGCTATCTCGCGGACCCCAACCACGCGGAGCCGTGTCGCACCAACCGATGACGCTAATCTAGCACAAATATCGTTCATCCCACGACGACGCCACGTCATGGACTGACCACCTCTCCGCCTTTTCTATCCCAGCTCAGGGCTGACTAGCGAACAGAGACCTGTACGGAAGCCTCTGGGATGACATTCGCAGCACATATCTGATATGTATCCACATATATATTTATGTGTGTGTGTATGTTGGTCTCTCTTTCTGTTTGCTCGCTTAGTCTGTGACCATTTCACTGGTATGAACTTGTCTCCTTTATCAATGTATATTCTCCTTATATTATATTATATATAATATGAGTGTTTGTTGACAGTCCGTTGCTTGGTGACATATATCCATATATGGTTGTTTGACATATCTGCTATATTCGCTATGTATATTTGGATCGACACTTCATTATAATTAGCCATCCATGTTAAGAGTGTCTAATGATTTATTCCCACGCTTTGTCTGGAACATTTATATATATTCGCATTCACATTTTGTGTAAACTACTTTACAACTACTTTACTTACTTACCACTTTGGTGTGAGACCATTTATTTTCGTCTCCTTGTGTTTGGACAATAGAAGTATCATCGCAAACCTAGTGGTCTTCTGATTTCCGCCTTCTCGCGTCAGGACTATTAGTTTCTCGACCAGTCCATAATAATAACTTAGCGACGAGTACATAACAATTTGGCGACGGGGAAAACTAGTACATAACAATATCCAAGCCACCGGAGCCGGTGTTTCCAGATGACGACGACACTCAATGAATGGTGGTGTGCACTGTGTTCAAACACACGCCACAGAACCTAAGAATTATTCACGTGATGATGCCATCCATCGAACGCAAGCAATCCTGCGGAGAAAGCGATGATGGAACATGCTGAGTCGCCGGACATCCTCAGTCTACACGCAGAGGCCAGGTTTCACAGGTGTAGAGCAAGACAGCCCGCACCGAAGCAACCATTTTTAGGGCTACTCACTAACAACATCTCGAAACGACATAGATAGGTTGGGAATCCAGACAAAGGTGAAAGGATGTCGAAGGTGAAGAAGTCAAGGTTAGGAAAAGGTAAAATACAGGAATCTATATATAACAATAGAAGATTGGAAAGACATAAGCTACTTGAGGCATCATTATTAATTGAAATCATTGTTACGAGCACTCGATGAGTTTCAATGATAGTTTGCTGCTTTATTTCATTTGAGATACTTCCCGGGCTCCCAGACCGAAGCAGGTGTTTTTCTTAAGCGACCATCCCCCCGCCCACCCGAGTCTTTGACTTGGAGTCTAATCCGCAAGGCAGCGGAGTAGCGTCAGGAGCTGCATTCCTATGGTTGCCTATGACCCATATCTGTTCATACGCCATTTGATCCAATTGGATTCTGGAGCCCATGTACCCCAATGGTAGCTGCTTTTAGTCTAACCGCTATCCAAACAACCTTCCTGACATGGAAGGACCTGCAGGGGCATGAGTCCCAGTTTAGCCAGTTTCGCTTGTTGAGTCACTGCGGTGCGGTATTCAACACCGACCACCAAGGCAATGTATCAGTTGTCGGCCCAAATTTTGCAGGCCGACCATAGAGATATCAGATGTGCGTCAGTGGCAGAGGATCGAACTCCGGGTCATGTACATGATCGGCGAGAGTCCTAACCACCAGAGTCATGAATGTGAATAAGGGGTGATTTTCTTTCTTTCATGATATTTAGTCTAAAGGTCAACTGCACAAAACAAACACAAATAAGAAGTTGAATGTCACTCAAAGCCGTCAAGCCACCAAGTCTTACTTACTCACTTACTCACTCACTTACCGATACACGACACTTTTGACACCACCAGCTAAAAAGATTGCACGACATCCTCGATTTGTACTGGCCACCAAACAGCCTTCAGTTGTAGCCAGGGGGATGTAATGTGATCGACCATCCAACAGGAGAGGCCCAATTTTTCCAACTGGTATAGGTACATAACCGATCACCTGAAGACAGATTCCAGTGAAACAACACATCAATAATGTAATACATTTAGTTATCAAGCGTTGAATGAATCAATAAAAATGATTCATGCGCTGCCAACAGCAACATGTGGAATGTGATATGGTGAGTGTGTGTGTGTTTGTGATAAAGTTTCTATCTGATCTCTTCGCATTCCGACAGATATAAATCAAATGCGATAAAAAGGAGGTTATGAAAAAAACCAACCAACCAAACAACAACAACAGCGACATCCAGTGCCAATCACCATCAAAGGGGAAGGATTTGAAAGAGGTTACACTTCATTCACTGCTTATCTAGGGAGCATTGTCTCAACTACAGGCAGTCGGAACGGACGGGGATGTAAAATCGAGAATCGGGTAGGGGGGAGCGAGAAACACATTCACTCATCAACCTGAAACAACCAATCTGGAAATCTTCGTCACTCAGCCAACATCAACAACAAAATTCCGTTGGTCGGATTTTCAATACAAACACGTCAAGTCAGTCAGCTCTTCTATACGGATCAGAAACTTGGCGGGGCGGGTCACAAAGAATATTTCCACCAACAGTCTGTTGCAGACGTTACCTTTAACAACAACTAACTGTCTTCGCTGGATCTATACTGGAGATCAGATGGCGGGGCTGGGCCGGGCCGGGTCGGAAAGAATCACCAACAACAAGAAACTATGGGAACAAATAAACAAACAAAACAAGAACCAATCGTCCAAAAACAACAAAGTGGAGAGATGGATTGGACACTCACTGAGGAGGCCGCGCTGGATGACATCACGCGCGCGTCGGGCCATTGCTCGAGTGGAGTCCGAAAGGGAAGCGGCGGGTGGGTAGTCAGTGCAAGGGTGACATGGAGGAGGAGATCGTGTGAAGAGGAGTTGAAACAGTGTAGACTAACATGGATGACGCAGGTGAAAAGTACAGCAGTAGAAGACAGAAGTGGCAAGTGGAGACGTACAACTGAAGACCTTTGTTCCACTAGGAACCCAAGGGAATAATAATAATAGTAATAATATACACAAAAGATACATACACACATACATACATACATACATACAGTACATTACATAACATGACATTCCACTGCTCACCTCTTCACAACACTGACCATGCACTAATCGATAATCATAATCTTTATATGGAATACGTTCAATGACATGGGGATTATTATTCAACAGATTAACTGATAAATCCAAACGTCGAAGTTCAACAGCTCTGGTTGGATTATGTGGTACTACGGATTCTAATTCACGCGTTTTTAGTCGTCCATGTGAGATTAACTGTAAAATCTCCACATCGGATAGTTCATGTCCTAAACCCTAAAGGCGAAGAACAGAAACAAAGAAAAACGAATAATTAGTTGTGTATGTGTGTGTGTGTTTATATATGCACATACATCTATGAAAAAGAAGAAATAAAGAAAGAAATAAGACAACAATAATAATAATGACAATTCACATTAACGAATTACAATGACGCATTGATACATCGATGATACTTTCATCATTTGTGATGAGAATCTGGACCTTGAAAACTTACTTCAAACATTCAACAATGCCCACCAAAAGAACATCGACTTTACTCTTGAAGCCGAATCTCACGAAATGTTGTTCCACTTCTTCAACTTCCATCTGACAAGAAACGCCAACAACTCTCTGAAATGGTCCATATACAAAAATCCCACATGGACTGGAAAATTCAACGAATTCCAAAGCTTCGTGCCCCTAAGCAGAAAGGGAACCTGATATACACTCTATCCCAAAGTATTCGGAAGGTATGCAGCGAGGAGGGGATTAATGAAGAACTGAGTATTCTCCGAAGAACCCTGATGGAGAATGGTTTTCCTCCTAGGTTCATAGAAAATAACCGCGAATCAAAGAAGACTTCCCAACAAGTTCAATCCGTTTCAAAGAAAATACTTCTGCTTAATCTAGAATTCAAAGTGACACTGAAGCGAAAATCCTTCGAAAACGCCTCTCCAAATCTCTGAGGAAAACATAATTCACCACGAGCCTGCGACCAACCTTTTCCTGCAGAAAACTGTTCAGCCAGGACGCGAAAGACAAGCTGTCGTGTTGGACCAATTCAACGTGCATATATACCAGTTCACTTGCTCTCTGGCGGAGCTGGCTGAGTATATCGGCCGTACCATGCGTCAACTTGAAAAACGCGCTCGTGAACACTATCCAGCCTGGCTAGTAAAAAGAAGACCAAAAACTTGTATACAGTTTAGTGACAGAACATCTGGTCAATTCAGGACATTCAGCGCCTTTCGAAAAATCCTTCAAAGTAATATACAAGATTCAATCAAACCTATCAAAGAGAGTGAAATTAAGACATCTGGGCATAGCCGAGACACTACCTATCCAAAAGCTCAAACCTACGCTACGCTATGTATCCAAAAGAAATAAATCCAACCCCAGTCCCTGCTATGGCCATCATAAACAGGTAATTTTTTTAGTAATGACCATCCCATCGCCTTTCTTATCTAAACTTCCTGTTTATTCATGTTATATTTAGGTCGGTTTTTCTCAATCCCTGTTTACACTACCATATTTTCATAACCGAACTTTGTGTTTATTTTGTCATTTTACTATTTCTACATATTTAATCCCTGATTGCATAAACAATTATTCATCACATTACTTTTTTTTTATCCAAACATCCTGTCTATTTTGTCAATTTCTGGAACTTTCCCATCCATTTGTGATTATAAATACACGAATGTACAGCCTAGATGATGACTTTGTCGAAAAGAAAAAATTTTCTTCGCTGCTATTTACAATTTGCATTCGCGAATTACAATGATGAAACTAAACAACAATAACAACAACAACAACAAGAGATAGACGACGACGACAAAAAGAGTAAATAAAACGAGGCTCCCATTTTGTTTTCTTTTGTTTCGCCGGCGTTCCTGCCCTTCTTCTACTTGTTCTATGGATTGTTTGGTTGGTTGGATGCTTCATTCATCATTTGACAAGCTTCACTGTCCTTCACTCTCCTTCACTCTCACTGATGAACAACCTCTTCAACAAGAAATCGTCAACTTGACAATGAAGGAAGCACTGAAGCGCTGGTGTTATTCACAAGGCAGAGGAAACAGCAGCTTCGCCATTTAACCAACCCCAGTCAACTCAGTGAGGAAGAGGTTGTGACTTCCCAACTGCCCACACCGTGGAAGTTGGTTGCGTGACCGCAGAGCCCAGGGGACAACTGTTTGAGCCAGGCCGGTCACACGAGGCCTGCTTTTGTTCGTTCTTTATTGTTGGGTGTGTCTCAGTAGCATATTAATCACTTCTGCCCTGTGACACGGCAGCAGGAAGCGCGGTCGTTGTTAATCCGAGCCCCGACCGATCCGAAATGATATTTTGTGAATTTGTTTGAATCATTAGTATTGGATTTGGTAGCTGCTTTTTGTCTAACCGTTATCCAAACAACATTTCTGGCATGGTAGGACCTCGAGCGACATAAGTCTCGGCCAGTATAGCTTGTTGCGTCATTGTGGTATTCAAGCCGGACCACCACGTCAAGCTAGCAGCTTGTCCTACCTGAGTGAGTCAGCTTGTAGGTGTAAATGCCACTAACCACCAGCCGAATTCCTGCTTTGTTATTCAGAATCTTACGTAGGGAGTGAGTGTCGTGTCAGATGTCTGTCGCCTCCCTCCTCATATGGTATAATGGAGTGCTGTAGATGCCCTACATTCTCTCTCTCTCTCTCTCTCTCTCTTATTTATGCTAGTTATCATTATTAGTCTCACCATTATTTTAGTGTTTATTTCGCTTTACACCTTTTCTGATCTTCCGAATGAATTTTATAGGATAGTTACTTACTTACTTACTTAGTTAGTCAGTTATTTGACACCAACGCTTCCGCTTCTTCTTCTCTCTGTCTGTTTGATTTCATCATTCAGGTGGTGTATTTTTGTACTGGTTAGTGCTACTGATGATCACTCGGTTTGTTAGACACCTAAATTAAGTTAACTCAACTTAACTAAGTCTGCCTTCACAGACAGTGAGCGAATGAGATGAGATGAGCTGAAGTACAGTCTAAAACTCTATTAGCACAAGAAGGCGTTGGTTTGTTATCAGATGAACGCTGAGTGAGGTCCACTCAACCTTCTATTCCTTTTATTTCACATACAATCTCACATCATGGCTAAGTCTGTTTGTTCTTTATTCCGAGGTGAATTCTACAGGAAATACTAAACCAACTAATGAGGTGGACCAGACAGACATGAAAGTCCATCTGAATGAAGAATATTCGCTCTTCAATAAATTTGTCTGGACATAAGTTCAAGGTTGAAAATAACGAGAATATTAATGATTGTCATATAATAATAATAATATTAATATTCATAATATTGATAATAATAATAATAATGATAATGAATTGAGTGAAGTGAAATGAACAGGAATTTGTAAATACGATAAGAAGTTAGCAAAGCACCAGTTAAACCTGAGTGAATAGAAATCATGAGAAGGCTCATGAAGTCATATGTGGTGTAAATTGAACGTTTGTCACTGTGAAACAAAAGAATAGAGGCAAAAGTAGGAGAAGAATCTTGTGATATGAATTTGGCGTGGTAATGTTTATGGAGGATTTGTTGGCCTTATTACAGTAGGGGAAGGTAAACATAACGGTTGAACATACTTCTTGTGTTGCATGCAAAGAGTGTCGGTCGGTGTTCTGGTAATGCTTGGAACCTCTTCAGCCACTCACTAGTAGAAGACATAGTCGAGCTCGTCTAGATAGATTCCAAGGGAGGCGGTGAATAACTGAGAACGCCTGGTCAAGTTCTATCGAGTATCCAGTATCTACTCGGCGAGTGGGCAAAGTGTTTGTCAAAATGAATTTCACCTACAATTGAATTATACTCTACCACAGTGCACAACTTCTGTTCTTTTCTTATGGCATAGACTATAATTTTAGATTTGCAATTCACTACAAAATCTAAGACTCCTAGTAGTGTTTATGATCGCTGGTTTACAACCCTGATGCTTTCTGTTTGTCTCCTTCTTGAGACTCAGTCTCCTGATACCGAGTAATGAGATGCACTTATTGTGTGTTGTTATTGATTATTCGTATTCGTACTAACCAGTGTCCCTCCATAGGCTGGTTGAGTAGGTTGGGGTGAGGTCGGATTAGAATCATGGAGTAAATTGGCTGACAATCGGATGTTTAAGCCAATCAACTTATCCTACTTATCCATTTTTGCGGCGCCAAAAACATCAAGACACAATGAAAACAGAACAGAAGAGAAGAGAAGGATTACGACATGAGTAGTCAGTCAGTCAGTCAGTCTGACATCAATCCAAAACTATAACCAACCACCTACTTACTGAAACGAGAAGATCGATGAAACAACAAAAATAGGTAGGTAGGCAGGCTGGCTTATGAAAGAGTACTCTTCACTACGCCAGCCACTCACTTAACGTGTAAAACACTTCATTAATATTCATTAATATCAATCGATCAATCAATATATTTATCTATCGAAATTTATGAATTAGTAGCATGTTTACCTGTTTTATCTTCTCGGTGAGTACATCCAAATCGATGAATAAACCAGGCGTGGTGGATTCCTGGTCATTTCTGTTGGTACTGACAGCCGGCAGAACATGTACAAACTCCATTTCAATATCATCATTGCCGTCTTCCTAGGAGGAGGGGATAAAGATTTCTACTTAGGACAAATCATATTACTCTATGTGCTTGTGTGCGTGTTTCATCTCTACTTTGTTATAATGAAATGAAATAAAACAAGTGTTAAATATTGATTTTGCAAACTTCTCACCGAGATGCGGGCCGACACAACATAGGGAAATAGGGAAAACAAACAATTTCTTCGTGGGCTGGGGGGGGACATTGTGTAAGCTTGCATGTGTGCACTTTCATGCATAGCAACGATATGTGAGTGTACATTCATAGTTCCCTGCCATTCAAAGTTTAAAAACTGGTTGAAACAAAATTCCAAAGCTGTCACTAGTCTCAAACAAGGCAAAGCAGTAGGACCTGATGGAATGACACCAGAGGTATTTAAGTACGGTGGAGACAGTTTTCTGTCTGCATTAACTGAGGTTCTAGGCAACGTCTGAGAATCAGAAGAAGTCCCATCGGGTTGGTGTAAGTCACTGATTATCACCATATACAAGAAGGGAGACAAGTCTTCCTGTAATGATCACAGAGGGATTAGCTTGACTAATATGGTGGTATCTAAAGTCCTTGGCTCAATAATAATGCGTACACTACTAAGTGGTGCTCGGGAGGCACAAACACGAGAGAGCCAGGCAGACTTTAGACCACGAAGAGGTTGTATTGATCATATCTTCACCCTTCGACAGATTCTAGAACATAGGCATTCTTACCGGCGTCCAACAATCATTATATTTCTTTACCTAAAGGCGGAATTCGATTCTGTCGACCGAGAGGTACTTTGGCGATGCTTGGCTGTAAAGGGAATGCCCAGAAAATACATTGCACTGATTAAGGCACTCTACTCGAACTCATGCAGTCAGCTAGGTGAGGGCTTACGTCGAGTTGTCATCTGAAGTGGTGACGACTAGTGGTGTCTGTCAGAGATGCCCACTATTCCCACTTCTGTTCAATTTCATTATAGATGTACTAATGGACTTAACCCTAACTCACTTTAGAGACTCAGGGATTGACTTGCTACCAGGGAATAAACTCGTTGACTTAGAATATGTAGATGATATAGTCCTTCTAGGCGAAGACGTTGACAAAATGCAGACATGGTCTTCTGAACACCTTAAGCTGCAATCTACGAATGTTTGGCATGCGACTGATTCGCTCCTGCCAAATGCAAGATAAGGTTACAGGACTGACTGGACTACAATGACTCCTAGTTTGGAAAAATGGGGAGTGAAGTGGTAGAGCACGTTGACCGCTTCACTTATTTGGGAAGTGCCATCAGCTAGTGCAAACGGGTTGGTCTCTGACGAAATCTCAGCGAGGTACGGATACATAGGGCTAGTTTCGCATACGCCTACCAGTTTATGCCGTCTCTGGCTTAGTAGACGTGATATCCGGCTGGCTATCGAAAAAAATGGCGGATGTACTGCCCAGCAGTCCGCTCCGTCCTCCTTTATGGTAAGCTGTGAAACCTGGTCTTCGGTCATAGGTGTCTGCGCTCTATCTCCCCTGTGGAGTGGTATAATAAGATGAGCAATATTGAGATTAGGCGTCGGTCGAGTGAGTGCTAGGTAAGTAGAAGCGGAAATCAATCGATGAGGCTGTGAAATTACAACGACTGAGTGAGATGGTTAGGACATGTGTTACGCAGGCATGTCTGGTCATCGCCTTCCTCGACAATGGGCAATGTTAGCTGGCTGACATAGGATTGGTCAGGCTGGAAAAGAGCTAGCCGGTGGTGGTCAAACCAAAACATGGCTTCACCAGTCAATGAATCCAAATCCACAACAGTTAGTTCAAGCCAGCCAGCCGCGTAGGAAGGTGTAGACTTTTTGACTGGTTTGGGTCCTCAGGACGGTGAAAGCCACTGAATGATGGAAATAATTGGTGATATGGCTCAAATTCATCGTTCTCGATGCCTCGGGCACATGGATTCACGCCTTGTGACTTATAATTTCCAGTGAAACTATATTGTTCTTCGTTCGTTATTACTATTCCTTTGTCTCACACCTGTTTACTGTCTCTCTATTATGCATTTCTTCTACTTTCTTCTCTTACTTTGCGTGCTACATGGAGGGAGTGTGGCGACTTGAACTGGCGCACATTTGTGCAAAGTTCTATGTCGAAAACAGATAGACAGACAGACAACAACAGAAAGAACACAACTATAACACTTACCTTAGTGTCACAGTAAATCCGTTTCCTTGTTTGCCGTCGTCTTGATATATTGTCCACTTTTTCTTTCAGATGATTCTGTTCCACTGGAAATTTCTCTATCTGATCCGTAAGTAGGACATCACTTTTAACAGGTAGATCTAAGTTAAGCAACTCTGATCTAAGCGACTTATGCAATCTGATCCTCCTGTAAAGTAGTAGCACACCAACAAAACAATAGCCAACCAAAGTTGCATTCTTAACTCGAAATAAGCTAAACACGAGGTGGTAGACGCCAGTGATGATGCCATTATCTGATAAATCAATCAAGATAGGAAGAACTTCTTCTTCATTGTGCTGACTTGAGTTGTGCTCGGCTGGGGAAGAAATCCACTCAGAGTAAAGATTATGCACATGAAGTATTATCAAACCAATAATTACTATTATAACAGCAGTACGATGTATTGCATGCGGACAATTCGGTTGCTTCTTGTTATTACAATTCACAAGGCTCATATTGATATCTACAGGTCGACGTTTCGCATGGCCGGAGCAGCAGCAGACGTCTGAACACGAATCATTGTGCGTATGCATGTGCGTTGAGCTAGACAGATTCTGACTAAATTAAAAAGACAAAGCCAAATATTATTGGAGGGTACTACATAAAGCAAAAATGCAAATATGTAGTTTTTCTATAATTTGGTTTGTAAGGGTTAGTTATGTTTCGTTTTTTATGAGTTGATCACGAAGTGATATCAGTTAGAGAACCATTGAAAACCAGCGACAGGGAGTACTGGACAGCCGCTGTTTTATCCTAGTTTGGTAATCATAGGCAGTACACCACCACTGGAATTCGAACCCAGGACCTTCCGGTTACCAGGCTACCTCGTATATCATTCAGCCACTGGGACCCGATTCAATTGCTCATGAATTCTAACTTCTACCAATTCGTGTTTTAGTGCGACCCCAACCATTGTCGTTGGTGGGACATCCATCCACAAACGTGACATCTAATTGAACCTCAATGGTCACGACTTCTCACTAGAACTCAGGAAACTCCAACCTGTAGCAAGTCACTAGAGAGCATCAGATCACGAATTGGTAGAAGTTAGAATTCATGTGCCATTGTATCGGGTCCCAGTGGCTGAATGGTATACGATCTTGCCTGGTAACCGGAAGGTCCTGGGTTCGAATCCCAGTAGGGGCGTACTGCCGATGATGAAACAGCAGCTGTCCAGTACTCCTTGGTTTTTAATACTTCTCTAACTGATATCAATCCGCGATCAACTCGTAAAAATATGTAGTTGTGAAAACTAAAAAGAAATATATATATTCCCCAATGATTTCAATTTAAACAGCTTAATCGTTACATGAACAAGAAAGAAAGAAAGGCAATTACCCACTCTGGAATGGAACATTTTCCGCTTTTTTTACAATTCATCCTTTGTAAACTCAAAGATATTAGTATCCTTGCAATTGATGGCATGAAAACGAACAGGAGTACAATATATGTGATTTGTTCTATTAGAGCAAATCGAAAAATAATTTCTAAAGAATATGGATATCTTGATGTCACACCAATAACAAGCATGGAGGATTTAAGTAGCATACTAAGTATATGCTCTATACATATCTGATTCGATAATAAGTAAGTTGATAATGAAGAATGCTCCTCAACTTCTTCATGCATTTTTGACTTCACTTTCAATGAACAATACTAAAATAAATGAATTAATGAATATTGATTGAAGAAACATTCACTCACCTTTAGTATCTCAAGGAATACATTGAAATCTGAAAATAATACTAGAAAGATTGATGTGGAAAGAAGAAAGACGGTAAGACTAGTATTTGGTAAAAATACAAGTGAATATAATCCACATAAGATGAAAGTTGAAATAATAAGGAAATAAAAGAGAACGCTTAGTCGCCTTCTTTCGTCTTTTGTTTCATGCACTAAGCAGCATATATCTCCTCGATTCAATTCGTAGTTTAATTCACTTGATAAAGTATCGACAAAATAAAGGAATATAGAAATGAAAATAAGAAAGCATGGACTTTGATAAATTATGACGTCTAAGAAATGATTTAATAGTATAAGTTGACAAATAAGCGTACAGAATTTGTAAAGCAAACATACAGAAAGTAGAAGAAAGACAACGACAAAAAAAATATCGCGATATAAAAATGTAGCTTTTCGAGGTGTAAGTGAAACCATACTAGATAAAGTAAAACTTGATAATCGAATTATATATTAGACATTAGACATTATCCCACTTTCTTCACCAGATGTGTAACGATTAGCTGACTAGAGGCAATTCACATGTACCCCCTCCCCGGTGTTAAAATCTGAAAGGGAACAAAATGAAGACAGGAAAACACAGATACACTAAATGAACGAAATATTCCCCTTTATTGAGTTATAAGAAAAAGGCGTAAACAGAAAAGAATAAGAAGCGAATCTTTTTTTACGACGATTCATTTTCATGAGCTGCACACGAGCTTATTGATTAGATTTGTCATCTTACACCTATCACGTCATGACAAATTCTGCCTCTTCTCTAACTTACAATTAGTCATCCTTTCTAGGTTACACCTTACATCATGTTTACCAGTATCTCATTGACTTGAAGACTTATTTCTTTAATACCATTTCAACAAGAATTGTGCCAATATGTATTATCTGGGTATGCCCTCTTTAATAGTTATGAAATCTGCTTTGAAGACAGAAGACATATTGTTGAGTACGTACTAAGCAAATTAAAATGTTTCAAACGAAACCAAGTTTAGCAGTTAATCTTAATAGTAGAACATCTATCTATCTATCATGCATTGTATGATTTCTTTATAGACCAGTGACTGGAAGATATTATCACAACACATAAAAGACAGTTAGACAGTGTAAAATCATGTTTGCAGTGCTTTTTCAACGCATTTTCCGAGGAATTGTGTACTTTCCCAACCTGAATTCTGATAAGTGGTTCAGTGTCAGTGGTTTTAGCTGTGATAGGATAGCAAAACTGTACATCCAATATCTGTGATGTCCACATAGCACAATATGTTGTCTCCTAGCTAATGGGATATATTCTGTTTCTTATTTTGATATTAAAACATAACGCTAAAAAGTCTAAGTTACACAAAACTGCTTCACTTAAGCTTCGAAGTCAGAAACAGATGAACTATGATAAAAAGAATCTCTCACCTAGCAAGCAACAAGCTGCGATAACGTTGCAGCCGAAATTCCCTCTTAACTTCAAATTGGCAATATCGCTACTATTCAATATTCAGTGTCATTTTTACTAGCTAGTATAAGCGAATTTGATTTCTTTGTGTTTGCATCTCTATTTTGAGGTAGATATTCCTGATCTTTGGTAAACTTCTGTGTAGCCAATCCCTCCACTCGATTCTCGTAGCTTTGGTTGACTCCGATTAGAGTGGTGCTGGGATTGATCATATGTGGTTTGTTTGCTGTGTGTTAAGATTTTGTTGCTACTGTGGAGATGATCCTCTCACCAGTTAGTCCTCTGATGCCGTCTTCAAAGGAAAAGATATTATAATAATAGATATAATTAGTGTGGGTTTTTCAGACTAAAAGACAGAAAAAGAAATAAAGAAAACGTAACCCAGACAGCTAATTAAAATTTGAAGCTGAAATGTATGTATACATAAAAAGGAGTGTATATGTATATAATATCAGTAAAAATAATAAGTGTAGTAGTTGGAGTAGTCAGGCGAGTAAGACAGAAGTGAATGTGAGGAAGTGAAACGACGAATGTCTATCCAGGAATGGTGTATGCGATTTTAGGGGCATGGGTCATTTGGACGCAATCCTTGTGTCACTGCATGATTGTTCAGTCTTCGTTTAAAGCTATTCACGGACGGTGCCTTAACAACATCTGCAGGTAAGGAGTTCCAGGGATGGATATCCAACACTGAAAACAAGTTGGGGTGCACTCGAGTCCTGACCATCTGATGAGCCATCCTCCTGCGATTTTCACGAGGAAGCCTATACCTACTCAATGGCAGAACACCTTAGTGATTCTGATCATTTGTTGTCTTAAAGGCAGTTATTGAGTCCCCTAAGCCAAAGTTAGCTAAGTGTGAGGAAACCTAATTTCTGTCACCCTTCATCATATGGTTTGTTTCGTAAACTAACCGATCCTTTTGTCACCCGTTTTTAGATACTCTGAGAGGTTTGTGTCTCCTCTAAGCAATACAGTGATACTGTGCACTTCAAGGTGGGGTTTGACGTATATCCAATCGTCCTAAGCTGATAGAAAGTTTATTACACAGGGTCTATCTTTCCTGAAACCATGTTGGACTTCATGAAGTCTGTTAGTCCTGTCATGGTGCTACCCGATGTGATCAACAATTACACTTTCCAGTACATTTGATACCACTTGGGTTACGATGCACATGGTCCGGGGTTCGACCCCTGCCGACATACTCCTGATATCTATGGTCGGCCTTCAAAATTTGGGCTACCGATTTCACATGCTGAAGGTTTCATACTTATACCAAAAATACGGTGTGGAATCAAGCTGTAATCAAATAAAAAAATACCGGTATGTAGCCAGTGCCCTTTTGCCCGTTCCCACCCGTGAACATTGGAGAAAGGATGTCTCTTTTCCACTCCCTTAGCAGTTTCCCTGAATCCACCGAGCGCCAAAACAGGTCGCATAAGGGTCTACATGGAGTTTCAGCACACTGTTTAAGAACAGATGGTATGATGTTTTCACAACCTGGAGACTTTCCAGATGTGAGTTTCTGTAGCTTCCCTAGTACTATTGCCAGCTTTATTTGGGGAGTAGCCGCTAGCTTTTCTTTTGGTGAAATAGTGTCGCCATTTTGGTCCGTACCAGTAACACCCACATCGCTGTTTAACTGTTTGTGGAGGCTAAACTGAATGTGTCAGCCATCTCCAGACTGATGAGGTACTAAACGTTCGGACCAAATAAGGCGCATGCCCCTGGTTGTTTGGTTTTCTTTCCGACATGGATCGATGCAAGTTTTCGGGCTTCGCTAGCGGATTTTTGTCAAGGTTAGTCTGAAATAATCTCCCATCACTCCTGACTCTCGCGTTGCACCGGTTCCTGAGTTCCGGGTATGCATTATGGTCAATCTGACTTTCGGATGCTCACCACGTAGACCACTCTGCTTGCAGAGCACGTTACGTACCTCTCTTCAGCCATTATAACCCTTTCTTCGGCTGTGTTGTAAGTAGATAGACGGTATCCGAAATTGCTGTGTGAATAATCTCTCTTACCACTTCCCGGTGTTAATCCACAGACAGGTTATCCCATTCTAAGGGCCATTCTGCGTCGGAAAAATTAGTCTGCATTTCGGCATAGTCCGCCTTGTTATTGCACAGACATGATGGCGTAACATCCTACTGCAAGTGCTCAGGGAGAACAAGATCGAATCCTCTGGCTGCGTGGTAACTGCTTCCTAGCGGAGTCATGATCTGGCCACTAGTTAGAATATAATCTAGTTTCGATGACTTTCCACTAGGGCCCCGCCGAACATTCTCAGCCATTGCTGTATTTCTAACGGTTTGCAGGGAATACTCCTGAATTTTTCTTGACCATACTTCGAGCCGAGGTTCAGTGACAGGACGCTGAAATCCCCACCTATAGTGTTCTGGTGATAGCCCAAGTCCCGTATTCTTGTGATGGTGCTGAGCAGTGGCTGGTTAAGCTCTCACAAACAGGTGGGCGATCGGGTGATGCCAACCAGTAAATGACACTATACGGGGTCTGTGAGTTCAGCAAGTGGTTGGTCCGTTACACAAACGCATTTAAGTCGCTTGTCAAAGTACACGGCAACTTCCACCCTTCATTGTTACCCCTGTCTCCCCTGACCATATCCATATTACCTACACTGATTTCGTTGTTGGTGATAGTTCCATTCGAATTTGCATTGCATTCAAATGCTGAATCAGTTTCAGAAACGGCAATACTACGGACCTGATATTCATCTCATGTCATAGATGAGGCTTTCAAGGTCTTATGATATGTTGAGCGATTCTTTTTTTTTGCTGTGTGTCACACACTGGCTTCCAACGGATATAGGTGTAGCATCATGTCCACCTGGTTTTGTTTGTGCCATTTCAGCGCTAGAACGTGGCAATGCAGGCGTGGTATGAGGACAGGTGAGTTGTACACGAGTCTTCAGAATCAGTGTGCGAGATGTGGTTGGTGTCCCTGATTATTTCTTATTCTGGCTGAGGCCCTCGTGGCTACAGAATATTGTGTTTTGGTGCATTTTCAAGGAAACATTCAACCGCCGTATTATCAGTTACTATAATTTATGCTTAAACATGAATAGATGGCAACAGCATCTGCACAATGGAACAAGAACAAAGGGATTGGTAAAGTATGAGGTAGGGAAAATTAGTAGTTTCGACTTCGCCTAGAGCTTCTTGGTTACTCAGCTTCACAGCGATCACGTGGCAGACCGAAAACTCTTGTTTATTCGATAGAGCAAAGAAGATGCCGTTACAGCTGCAACATCTGAAGTTTTGTCAGTAGTTCGAGATAGCTGGAGTTATCACACAGAGATTTAATATCGAAGTAATAGTTGAATTCAGTTCACCGGCTAGGTAGAGCAACTTTCTCGGACAGATTGTGGTGAGAGCAGGCTGCTAGCCAGTTGGCAGACATTAATCTACGTCAATGTCTAGATCACTAATATTGGCCGTGAGAAGATATGAACAAGGCTGATTCAACAACCAATCGCAGCAGACTTAACGCTGACTGCTAGTCAGCGGGTATGATGAAGGGGACATATGAGAACCACCCTTATCTGTGGGACAGCACTCTATTGCTAAGGCTCCTGAGTTCTAATGGCTTCTGCAAAATGAGAATAAATAAAAAAAGTAAAAACTAAAAAGTAATGAAAAAAGGAAGAAATAGAAGTTGAAAATTGCCTAGAGCCGAAGTTTAAATGCAAACTCCCGAATGAAAGTAAATGGTATGAGTCCGCTACTTCAGAAGGACACCGAACTGTATACTTCAGAAAAACATATATTACTAGGCCCTCGCTTTTCTTTTGCATAGCTCACGCACTCTGACTTTTGTGTTTAACTCCTTTTAAACCTACATAAGTAGGTGAAATTATCACCTGTCTTTCACTTAAACTAATTGCTCGCAGAAAAGATTGTAGAATATCGGGAAAATAATATTTCTTGAAAAATACAATAAAAATAATGATGAACCCCATATCTGTTATATATTTTGAATTATTGACACCTTTTATATACTTCTGCGCCTGTCTGCCGGTTTTCTTGAGTCTTCTTCTCTTTTCAAGGGTACTCCTTTCAAAGAAGGTACTGTTACAGCGCTGCCGTTCTCCATTTATTCGTGAAATTGCTAGCTCATCTGGTGAATAACGGGATCATCGGTATTATAAAATCTGCTGACAAGTTCAAAGTGGGTCTCATAAACAACTGGAAATGTCACAAATATGATGTACTTACAGGTGAATTTAAAGTTTAATAGACCTTAAAACTCTTTCTGAATGATTTACTGATAATTATTGTTTATTCTGCATCTCTTATGTATCACGTCAGCACCTGTACGGAAATGCCACTCACCTTCCTCAACTAACGCAATCATTTATGATTCCCGCGTGAAATTGACATGTATTTTTTTTCAATCACAGCTTAGATTTGAAGCTTATTTGTACACTTCATTTTACACGTTTCTCTCACATTTACCAGTATTCAACTTACTTCTAAATTAACAAATCATATTATATATTCTATAATTATTAATAAATGTACGTATGTTCATGCCTGTAAAAATGGCTGGTTTCGGTTCCAGAAAAAAAGAAATTATTATTCGCAGGTAGATGGCCTCACTTTCGGAGAGATCAGAAACAACCAATCAGAAGACTGTGTTTGTCTACTTGAATAAGCTATAATAATGTACATGAAATATATATAAATGCGTGCTGATTTCCGTATTAAAACGATCTGTCGCCGGCCCTTGTCTTCTGTTGTTACAATTGGTGTCGCTGCCTCCGAAAAATGAAGATCCCATGGCCAACTGCGTTTGGAGAAGAAGACATACGTAGCTTCTTACGTGACTTCGGAGCCGTCGCTGAGCTGGTAGGTGTCAAGGAGCAGGCGGCGAAGGCAGTTGTCCTGGGGACGCTTTAAAGAGGCCAAGCGAAGGCGGCATATGACAGCGTAGACAGGTCAGATGGCACAGAGTCTTAGAGGACGTTGGTTGAACGACTGGTGTCGGAGATTTACAGCGAAACAGACGGGCAGCTAGAAATGCAGCAGTTCCGTTCAAATAAGCTGGGACCTGATGGGGACCCGCTATTGTTGGCGGTGAAATTGACGAATCTACTTCGACGTGCGCTTCCCGCTTTGCATGAACAATCAGAAGCGCAGTTACTGTCTTCCCAACTCATCGAGAGTGTCCCAGACCATATTTCTCAGCGATTACAACTGGTTAACTCTCCAGCCGATGGATACTAGAGAGCTGGCGAAGGTGACGAGACAGCTGCTGAGCACAACTGTAACCGATATAGAGCAAACAAAACCAAACGAATACGAGCAGAAAATTGAAACTTTGCAGGGGGAAGTGACGGCGTTAAAGTTGTGTGACAGAAAAGACCAATGTATTGAATGCGGTAAGCCGGAACACTGAAGGAAGTTGTCAGCCACGTCTCGTAAACCGTTAATGCCCAGCTCTTGCTACGCTCCGGCTCACGCTGTAAATTGAAGTTTCTCCGAAACGCTTAGTAATAACGGACGCGAAAACCAAAAGACCGATTGGCCACTCGAGAATTCTTTATTGTTACACCAACATATAAAAATAATGGTTTTACTAGGGTCTGTGAACAAATATTACAATAATAAATCACAATATTGCTTCTGACGGTCGTCTCCTCACTTCTTTCAGAACAGCGACCGATGAGACAATGACTGGTGTAATGACGCCTCCGCGAAAATTGGGGAAGTTGGATTTGAGCAAACAACCATGAATCGATCGTTCAATCTTCAACTCCATTGACACTCCCCGGGAAAAAACGGATCCATCCCTTTTTTCCACCACGACCAATACACTTTGACTTGGATGCCATTGCGAGAACCTGGGTCACACGGACAGAGCTGAAATGGAAAACAAACAGAAAAGCCAACACACCACAAGCATACCCACTGCGCAATCTCACACATCGATGACGACCTGTGCCTTCCAGTTAAAGGCATCCTCTTACAACACAATAGCCACTTGCTAGAATGACTCTTGTAGAATGCAACGTGACCATAGCACCAACTCATCATACTCTACGCACGTCCTCGTATCTACCCACTACCAATTACCACTGAAATCGCTTGTCACTCATTCTGCCTCAATTCTAGTAACGATGACGTATGCAAGCCTCAGTCGTCTACACTGTCGCTCCCCGGCGTGTCGGACCGCAGCTAACAATTATCTCCATATGCATTTCATTCTCAGCAATAGCCTCTCCGGCGTATACGACCCATCTGCTGTCTTTAACATCAATCAATTCATTCACGGATGTAGGAGACTCGAAACAACTTCAGAAGTAATCACGACGAAAATTTTAACAAAATTACTCAATAACAACAAGGTACAAAAACAACGAGTAAACACAATTAATCTAAAATCACAAATTGAGAAGACACTCGACACGTATATACAAACAGTACAAACAAACTCGCAGATCGTGTCTCCATGTAATTCCTTTGAAGTATCGCAGGGCTTACACCAGTACGCCTACAACCCTTCACAGGTTGACGATTGTAAGTTGTAGAATGTCCGGACACATACAAGATTAACCAACAATTACAATAATTGGAACTCACACAATTATTTAACACGAACATATGTACAATCAATACATCAAATGTTGTGAATTCTGGCATGAAGAACTACTCTTGAAGAACTGTAGGACTTACAGCGGTACGCCTACATCCCTTCTCAGGTTGATGATACAAGTGGAAGTCGTCCGGACACAAACAAAATTATCAACAGACAGATGACAGATGATATCAATTCAGTATACACAATATGAACTTATGTACAAAATCACACACCAAGCACGTTGGGCTGCTCATTGATGCGCTACCCTTTGGAGAATTGTAGGACTTACAGCAGTACGCCTACAACCCTTCTCAGGTTGACGCTCTAGGTTGGAAATTCGTTGCAGAGTT